AAATTTGGAGACAGACATACACAGAGAACACCCTGTGCAGACTGGAGTTGTACTGCTACAAGGAACTACCCGAAGTTGGGAAAAAGGCCTGGAGCAGATCTTCCCCCAGCACCTGCAGAGGGCGTATGGCCTTGCCAACACCTTGATTTCAGACTTCTAGCCTCCAGAACTATAAGACAATAAATTTCCACTGTTTAAGCCACTCAGTTTGTGGTACTTTGTTACTACAGCCCTAGCAAACCAGTACAGTCTCCCAGAAGCATTTGACAAGGTTGACAGTGGAAACACTCATCCCTGTGTCACTTCCATTTCTGAGGATTTCCCCCATCTCTCTAACAGTTCTCCACCTCTTCCTCTAGCTTATCTTCAGTGTTGATGTTCCTCACACTTCTGACCTACGCCTTCTTTTTTACTTCACATAATCTCCTGAGTGGTTTCACCCACTTCCATGGCTTGAATTACTGTTCATGCAGTGGTGTGCCAGAAAATGTTTCACGACTGGCTCTCTGGGAGGAGGGGAGACTGATTTATGTTTTCTTTCTGATTTCTGTAGTATAAATATCCCCACCATGGCTGACTTCAAACCGCCAACAGTTTAACAGCTGGTTCTCAGAACGAAACAGTTGGCTCTCACAAGCTGGTACGAGTCAGTGCATGGTGGCTCCAACTCATCTCTGCTTTTGTGTCAGAGATAAGCAACTTATTTTTACACTTAAGGTAAAATAAAAATACCTGCAGACGTTTCTTTCCCCTAACAAACTGTTCCAGAAATGGAATATCTGCAGCTGCTTTTACGTGTTCTTTTGTTATTTCCACGTCGTTGTGGTGGCAGTGCTGATGCCGGTGGATTTTTCCCCCCTTTCTTTTTACTGTATATGATAGAGATACTGTACCTTTGATCAATTTTGTTTTTATGACAAGGTTGCCGCTGTTTTAAACCTGGTTTTTGTCAGAGGGCATCAAAATTGTATCTCAAAACAAGAAAATATTCCATTACAAAGGAGACAAACAAAAAAGTCCTTCATACCAATACTTCGAAACATGTGATTTCCTTTACTTGGCAGGAGCCATAGCACTGGGTTTTAATTTTGTTCAGAAAACGGTCTTTGTCTGGACCCACTTGCCCTTTCATCAGGCTGGACTTAAGTGTTCATTCACTTGACGAATACTTATGCAGCACCAGCTGTGGGCCAGGTACTTATCTAGGTGCTGAGGAGATTCTGATGAGCCATACAGAGTCCCTGCTTTCACAGAGCTTAGCTCAGGGGTGGGGATAGATAGTAAACCGAATCAACAAAAAAGGAAGCTAATTTCAGAGAGTGGTGAACGCTGTGAAGAACATAAAGGCAGGGTAATGTGGTCGAGAGTGACCCGAGGTGGTACAGTCACGCCTTCTGGGAATCAGGCTCTGATCCTCAGGCATCTGAGCAAGACCGTGCACAGACGCACATCTTGTGATACCACAGTTCCTTCCTGCTGCTCACTTACCCTTCCTTTCCCAGACAGCACCAGTCTCTCCTGTCTCAATTACTTACAGATACCAGATACACAAATCTAAATGAGCTTCCTCTATCATCAAACACAATCAAAATCAAAATCGAGGACCAGAATCGGTGCCTGCACCAAAGCAGTGGAACAGGGCCAGCCCAGAGTGACTCTGAGAAAGTTCCTTGTATCAGTTTTAGGGCCACATCTCTGCACCTGTGGGCTAGGGATTCACTAGTCACTGACTTCTAGACTGAGGACTCTCCATTCTACACCTCGCCTTTATGTGTCTTCTGAGCTCCAGGCACACATGGCCAAGGGCCTAATGGCAATGTGTTTTGGCTTTCGCTGGCATCTCAAATTCTACAGCACTGTGCCCTGCCCCCATCTTCCTCCCTATCTCCAGTCTATCACCTATTCTTCGTCTCAGCAAATGATATTACCATCTTCCAGATGCTTCCCAGGGGTGATCTTGGACTCTTCTCCGACATCCAGTTAAACACCAAATCTAGGATTTCTGTCTCCACATGTATCTTGAATTTATCCCTCTCTTCATCCCCACTGTTTTTACCTTACCTCAGCCCATCACTTTCTGTCTACGTTAATGTGACCACAGTCTTGGTCCTTCTATTCAGTTATTTACACCGCAGCCTGAGATTCTTTTCTAAAATAAAAGTCTGGTGCGGGCACTCCACTGCTTTAAATCCTTCCGTGGCTCCCCACTGCCTTGATATAAAATTGGAACTCCTGGCATGGTGGCTTACAAGCCCTCCATGATATGGTCCTGCTTGCCTCTCCAGTCTATCTTCTCCCAGCACCTCGCTGTCCCCAGTCTCTAGGCTCTTGCCACACCTGTCAGCTCTTCGGTGGTGCCATATTCCCTTCTACCTCTGGTGTTTGCACAGACTTTTCCCT